CGCGATAACTTGCGCAGCGCCGGCAAAGACGCCATGGAGACGTCAGAAAGCAAATCACGTACTGCCCAGAAAGCAGAGGACTTGTTCATCTGTCTTTCAATGATGGCAGAGAATGAATAGCAGACTGAAGCAAACAAAGTTGTTGTGGGAGCAGAACGTTTTTTTTTTCTGAAGACTTCTGTGGTGTACACTGATCTTATGACTGTTTCTTCTCTTTCAAGCATTGTCCACCCATTGTCGGACTGGAGTGCAGGTGCTTGCGGTATTCAAATTACAGGAATAGTTTATGATGATTATTTAAATATTTGTCCCATCGAAACTGCGTCTGCGCGAAGGCAGTGCAGGTCAAGTATCGGTGATAGGTCTGGTATCATGGAGTAATGATGGCAAAACTTTAAGAGACAGAGAGAGGAACTCTTTATTAAAAGAAAAACACGTTTTCCCGGCGTCTAGTTAGCGCTGGCATGCTACTGTGTATAGGGAGGTGTACTTATAGGTTTCAAAAGAGAGGGAAGAAAAATATAACAAAAAAGCAGTGACCAAGTGAACCTGATAAAACAGTTTGCAATTGATAAAACAATATTGATAGAACAATTTGCAATTGATAAAATATTTGCTAAACATGCATCGTTTCAAAATATGCGCAGCCGTCGCAGTGGCGATGACACCCATAGATGCGGAGAGATCTACAGACCATGGCTGCCTTATTCTAGTTGAAGTAAGTCCAAAACAAGGCAGCCAGTGAAGCAGGAAGCTGTGGCCCAGTGATCGGGTGATTAGAACGGCAATGTGTTTTCGAGCCTTCCGTTACAAACCAGCAAGGATTCAGTCTCTCTAGCTCAATGGCATTGACGTTCCTGCTCCGAGTCCACAAAACAACGTCTAGAGGTCCACACTACGCACATATCTAGATCGCTTGCCCTGACATCACACAAATCGCCATGTTGGTGCGCTGCGTGGTAGGACGCCATGTTTGTAACCTAGTTAAGGTTATCATTACATCACTTCCAAGTTATTTCATTATTAGCGCACAGAGGGCAACAGCAATGTGGCCATGTCGTCATCAAACTTAAGCAAGTTGAGCGCAATGGGATCATGCTCCCTTTACGCCATCAATGACGCCATGTTGGTGATCCGGTACGTTATGAAGCTGCGTCCATGACGTCCTCAGCAAGCTGTCTATTGCACGTCTTGTGTCGTTAAAGCACAGTGACCAACTCCGCCAAGGTGTGGCACTGCCTTACATTATCTTGTCACGACAAGAGTGCGCCAGAACAGAAACATGCTGCAGAAATGATCTTGCATCGGGAAGAGGCAAATCACTCTAAAGAATATTGCGTAAAAAGGGTGTATTTTTGTTTCACAACAATAATCCCCATGCAGCCGCTTGCGCAATTCTTTTTTTTTTTCAAAACGCGGCGCTGGCCACTTTCTTGTCGAAAAAGTTGTGTTACGCTGATAACGCGCATGTTGGTAGTGACCTGAAATTGCCGGGCGCGTGGCGATAGTACAAGGAAAGGAGCGCGAGATAGATGACGGTCCCCGAGGAGCTCACTTCTCGCCGACCAGCAATAGGCCGTCCAGCAGGCCCACGAAGCGGCCGCCAGGTACTCCCTGTCGGTCCCTACGTGGGAGACGCCCGCTACACGCGTCCTGCAGGACTGAAATAAAGTTTTCCATTCCATTCCATAGATGACGGTTATTGTTGTGGCACAAAAAGACGCCCTTTTTGCTCAACCTTTTCTTTGGGTGTATGTCCGCTGCAGCGCAACGTACTCAAAGACACAACACGAAGAGCTGAGCACAACGTAATGAAAGGTCGGAATACTGACCCCACAGCATACGCGATACTGCCTCATTTTTCGGACACCCTGAATGAACGTGCAAGCATGAACTAATCAGCAGTCGTGATACACAACAGGTGGTCGGAGTACTTAGAATAGAAGAGCAGAGGGAAGATGTTGATAAAACCGGTGTTGTTACAACAGTACACAATGAAAAATATTAATGACGCAGACAACACTAAGCATTAGCCATGCAGCGTAGGTCTAGTGCCTAGGTTAGGTACTCGGCTACTGATCCGCAGGTCGCGGGATCGAACCGCGGCTGCATTTTCTATGAAGGCGAAAATGTTGCAGGCCCGTTCGATCACTTTTTAGAGTGTTGAATGGGATAGATGCCGTGAAACCATACTTAATGACTTGATTAGGCAGGCTAGTTGGCTGTATGTTACCGTCAAATGAAAAAAAAAGATAAGTGATGATTACGATACTGTCGAAACTGTCTAATGCGAACTCCGAGTGCGGCGTCCTGCTGGGGCAATGTCAACTGTGTTTGATGTTTTGGATATTCACAGTTGTAGCAATGTAAATTGTGTAGAATAATAGTGAAGAAGCAACCCGCGCTCCAATGTTAGGTGCAATGTAGGCGTTGTGAACCAAACGAAACGCCGACAGCACTACGGTGCTATGCACATCACTCTATGAATTGCAGACGTCACCCGCCAAGTGAAGACAGTCGCAGTGCCTGCTTTGCAAGCGCACGGACCTCGACCGAAGGGCCAGTGCTAGTGAAAGAGGAAGAAAGAGAAGTTAGATGCCAATGGTTTGTGATACTGACTCTTTCGTCCTCGTCCGCTCTATCGAGTTACACAGACGCCAGCCAACAGCGGCGACCCCTCTGAACGCAGGAGCGTTTGCCTGAGAGCTGTGCTTTAAAAGGGGCACCGATAAGTGCACTTTTCGTTTAGCTGACGTGAAGTTGAGCTAGAGGGAAAGAGTACTCTACAGTAGTGGTGCTAATATACATGCTCGAGTAGCTGTAGATGTGTTTCTGCTAAATTTATTCCAAGCTCCAGCTAATTTAGCCGGCTCTTCAATGAAATCAAACGGGAAAACATGTAGTGCATAACATGTTTGAGCCAGGCCGAAAAAAAAGCAGTCGTAAAGTGACATTGACTAGCTCCACTAAGACACTGAAGTAACTTGCGCAGATGGTGGCCTGCTAGCACTTATGTCGAAAGGAGAGTGGCATGAAAAAAAATTGAAATCGATTGAATGTCCCCCACAATTGTATGATAAAATAGCGTTACGATGTCACCATGGTGCACACGTGTCATACGAAGCGTTTAGAAAAGCGTAATAATCCGATTGGTACAACGGGGCAAACGCTCGATGCTATAGCAGCAGTATTCTGGTGAAGCTGTACATGCTTCATTTTTCTTTAAACGCCCTACGACAATAAAAGTGCAACCACACCACTTTGTTGCCCCTCGATTATGGACGCGTAAATATGAACACAAGTGTATACACCATACGTAGCAGTAACATGCAGTTAATTAGATCGCACCTTGCTGTGCTTGTGCTCGACTTCTGACCCGGAAGTCGTTCGTTTCGATGAAGACCGAAAGCTGGAATCGTATTATGGTTTCGACACGTGAAATTTTATATACGATCATCCGTGGCTTTAGTGCAAGAGCTTCACACAGATTGCTTTGTTGCGACGTGTTCATCTGGTGGTGGCTTAAGTAAGGGCCAAATGTGATCGCGTGACGTCACCCAAGTCCCACTGATACGTGAGCGCTGAGCACCGCTGACGTCTAAAGCCCCTATACCTTCGGAAAAGTACAGCCTTCTTTTGATCTGCGCCACTTCCTCCTCTCCGCACCGGAGTAAGCTCATGGCGCTTTGCAGGGGGCGCCACTATCACAAGCGAAAGAAAAGAAAATCAACGCGCCGGAGAGGAGGCGGTGAGGGGAAAAGAAGATCGCGGTACTTTTACAAAGGAAAAGTACAGCGTTCTTTCCGTCTGCGCCGCTTCCTCCTCTCCCCGCCGAAGCAAGCTCGTGGCGCGTTACAGAGGGTGCCATTGTCGCAAGCGAAAGAAAAAAAGCAACGCACCAGAGATGAGGTGGCGTGGGGGAGAGCAGATGGCGGTACTTTTACGAAGTTTGGGGGCTTTACTGACGTCCTGTTCCGTTAGCTGGCACGCATGTCTGACACGTGGCACATTCTTCTGAGGTCATTTATCGGCTCGTACTGATATGATTACTTTCTGACTTTACCTTTCCACTGTGACATTGCATCCCGCGGCAGATTAGCACCGCCATGTCACAAGTTATATAAAAAAAGTGTGGTGAAAACAAGTGCGGTTTGACGCAACAGTCCCAACCGTGCATGTTAAATGTATTGACTCTCCGTAGTGGCAGAGCATTGAAAATTGCATCGCACTTCAAAAGTTGTCTGCTGTCTGGGAAGTTTGCGCGCCTTTTCTTTGGCTCTTCTCAAAAGTTGTCGCAGTTGACGCGTCGGTAGGTATGTTTTCAGAAACGTCGGTTTGTTGTCGATGGTAGTGAAGAACAAGCATCATCTCGTGCATTGGCTGAGACTTTTTGCACTTATCAAACTGGAGAATTCCAAGCAGTGCGGGCAGTGGGCAATTGAAAGAAGCACCATGGCCCAGGACTCGAGAGGAATTAGCACACTGCCCATTGCGGCACTTTGATTTCTTGTGCTGTGATTGTGTTATTCGAAGCTTGGTAGTTTGAGAAGATGTGGCAACCGGAGAAAATGAGTGTTCCCCTACTAGTTGATGATCATCGAGTATATTTGGAGTACGCAGTTTATTTTGCATACGCATAGAAATTCAAGACACGCGCGAACAGTGTACTAGCCACCTTCTAACCATCTTTGGTGAATTTTTGTTTTGAGGTACCTTTGGTTGTACTGTCGCTGCAAATAGATCGACCTCAGTTCAATCAATTGTACAGCCGTCCAAACATTTGTTGCTATCGCTCGCTTTTTTTATACTCGGTGCCACATTACCAGCTAGGATGACAGCAGCAGCCATAAATGCGCATTGACTTGCGTCAATGGTACATTGTGCATGAAAAATTTCAACGATGACTTTGTTTTGCTGTTTCAGCCCACTACCTCAGGAATGTTTCCCGTCGCAGCCCCGTTGAAGAACATAAGCGCTGCACTTCTAGGCCAGTTATCGCAATGTGCAAGGAAGTCAGGTGAGTCCAGGAAGTTTACGTGCTGAAATCATTTTCGTATTAAAGAATGCAAATTTAGAAGCCACGATGAATCAAACGTATCATTTAGAGCCATCAGGGTAAGCTGTACTCCTCACGGCTGTGCAGTGGTTCTGGCGCACAACCGCTCACTCAAATGTCGTGGTCGAGGGTTCGACTCCAGCCGTGGCGGTTGGATTTAGATGGAGGGAAAATGTTGGAGGCATGTGTACTGTGCGACGTGAGAGCACTTCATCCGATGGTCAAACTTTCCGTAGCACTTCACTGGGGCGTGACTCGTAATCACAGCATGGTTTAGGCGCATAAAACTCCAGTTAATACTATTGGCTAAGTTTTTAATGAAATAATATATTCAGGAACATTGCCATTACTTAGGACACAGCAGCAAACATTTGTTCGCGTTCCTGCTGTCCCATGCTCGCACAGGATTGCTTATGAGCACAATACAGTACGGCAACTCGTTATTCCAAATCCCTCTCGTGCGGCCCTGGGCAAGTAGGAATGTGACCGTAAGAGAGGTGGAAAAAGGTATCACATATAAACTACTGCTGCTTTATGTTACTCAGTGGCAGATAACGTTACGGGTGATGGAGTACTGTCGACAGCAGATGTTAGCGCGAGAGGTTAAATCCATTCGCCAGTCATATTTGTGCTCTTTAGTCTACAATCCCCAGCGCTTCATTTTGCAGCAGCAAAACACATAAAAATTGCTTTGACATTGGTGATGTAGAATCTGTGTGCAGCGTCGATGAGTGTCCGTGGTCATTTCCAGCGAGCTGCCCCAAATCCACAAAGGTGCCGCTAAGGGAACTTCTAGCGGAACTGCACAGCAGAAACATAGAAGTCAGCTCCGTGAAGGCTCCCCGCTTCCGGGCCGGACAGTACGCCCACAACAACAGGCTTCAAAGGAAGGACAGCAACTTCGTGCTCGACTTCTGCCAGCCGACATTCCTGCAGGGCTGCCACGAGAAGATGCAGTTCCTCGACGTCGGCTGCGGCACCGGCGACTTCACTCGGGATTGCCTGCTGCCCCGTTGTTTGCCCTGTCGACGAATCGTGGCCACGGACTGGTCTCAAGACATGATCGACTATGCGAAGCGGTACTCTGCCCACGTCAAGATCGACTACCAGCAGCTCGACATCTCGGCTGACGTCACAGACTTTCTTGGTCGCAATGGTCTGTTCCACCGGGTCTACTCCTTCTACTGTCTGCACTGGGTGAAGAACCAGGACGCCGCGTTGAAGAACATCTCCAGCCTCTTGACGCCTGGAGGAGAATGCTTACTGCTCTTTCCGGCCTCCAACCCGGCAACCGCGGGCTGGCAACTATTGGCTAAGATGGACCGCTGGACAAAGTATTCGGAGGTTAGCTCTTACCTTTCTACTTAGATATTTCCACGTACGCCGCTTCTGTTTTGGTCTAACTGGCTCGTTACACACCTAACAACTGCCTTACGCAGGTTGCACCGGAACGTTTCAAAACGTTCACGATTACTTTAGAATCATCCGATAACAATGCACGCTCAACGAGAACAGTAGTTTATTCTATAACTAACGCAGGTGCGAACGATAACGATAAAATCTACGATGCAGCGTGTATGCATGGTGACTTGCCTTGCCGCTGATAGAATTACTGACGTATGTGCTTGCTGCTTTTGCTGTACTTTGAGATTACTTTTTTTTAATGATTACTATTTTGCCTGATTGAGCGTTTAGTCTTTAACCGGCTGCATTTTGCTTTCTAGACCGTCACGACCAAGTGACAGTTTTACAGCAGGGCTGTAACAGGCGAGGTTTGCGTTGTGCTTTAGGCCGAAAATTATCATAATGAAAAATCAACAGGTGCTCAAGCACCGCCCAAGCACTCCGCGCAGATGGTTAACCAGAAAAGCGGCAATGTGCGACTCGTCACCGGAGTCTGTAACCCGTGCGTTCTGAGCGATTCTTTGTGAACCAGTGTGGTGAATACACGGGTTTGTCCAACTTGTGCACCGCATTACTAAATAAAATAGGAAGCATATAGTCGTGGATACTATAGTGTAGCATAGCAAGGCGTGGGAAAGGGACATGTGAAAGGGATAACGCCTAGCGAAGCCAGGTCCAGCTGCAGTTCTGCTGTGACCCAGCCTTGTGTGACAGTGTAAGCTGAGCAAATGTTTTTTAGGCAGAACTTCAAGCCCGCGCAAGGGGAAGTTGTGGGACAATTACGGAGGCGACACGCTCAATGCTTACTGACGGCATGTTGAAATTCTACTCACTTATACAAATACATCAGTCTCATTTATACGCGTACTCACTTATAATCTACGCGTACACTCTTTACAAACATTCTAACAAAGTCATCGATGCAAAACGCAAGCGCCGCCTTAACACAGGAAGCGGCAGTTAATGTTCATATCAATGTATTTCAGAGTCAGACATACGTGCTTGATTTTGAAATCGAATGTCTTTAATTGAATAAAATGAACATTTTCAGTCTATAAGCACGGCACGATACAATTCAATTGAATACGCACAATTTCGTGGTTTCTGAAAACTTGAAAAGCAGGCCATGTATTCCACTTTCGAAGGATCATTTTAACTTAACTTGTATGATTTTGTACCTCCTGAGAACACTGCCAGCCTGCGTCAATGAAGAATTTAAGACTGGGTCTGGTATAAATATTCTTCTATAAGATGAAAAATTATGGTGTCGTTGGAACCACGCAATGTCAACGCAAATTGTCTTGTCTCCTTCATAGCAGCTACACTCGGTGCGTTGCAAAAGACAAACAAAACTTTTCCTAACGTTGTCTCCAACAACACCTCATGTTCAAGCAATTTCAATATGTTGAGGCTTCCACCTTCCTGCGCACTATGGCCTTTCATAAGTATTTCATGCCGCGTTCATAATAAATACTTGATTTAGTTATTTTGATGTTACAAATACCTTTTCTTACCTAGTAAACTGGATGTAGAATTCACGAGCTTCTCCTTTAGTAATTCTGAGTGGTGGTTCAGGGAAGTGCGCGAAAACACAGAGGTGTCTGCTTAATGTGCTTATGATGCATGCGCAGCAACTGTTGGCATACATCGCTCCCTGTGAGTATATGGAGGACAAACAAGAACAGATCGATTACATGCGCTTCTTGCTGAACGACGCCGGACTTTCGCCCAGCATCTTCGCAATACCAAGGTTGGCAACCTTCGACGGCTGGACTGAGGCGGACATAATCGGTGAGAGGCGTTTGAAATACTGATGATGTAAATGGGAGAGACCCATTATGAGTGCACGTAGAACTTTGGCGAGCTCGTGTGTTCTGGTGTATGTCATTGTAAAACGAAGATGTAAAAAATGAGCTCCCTCATGCAGCTAGAATTCACTCAGGTAGACCATCGCATTGATTGAAAAATTAAGCTGCGTTTTTGAAGTTTCCGAGTGATTGAGTCACGTGGTGCTAATGCTAGCCTCCAAAGTAAACGATCACTCCGGAAATTCGATGGTCAGAATTACAAGCCGTAAAACTTTGATGAATCCAAAACATGTCATCTTCGTGCTACAATCTGGGTGATTTGCAAAGTATCCCGTTCAGAAATCCTTCCTGGTGCATCACTATGACTTGTAGGTTCATGATCGGTAATTCCACAGTAACACAGTCGTATTGCCACGTTATACTTGAATTGCCCCACCGCGGTGGTCTAGTGGCTACGGTACTCGGCTGCTGACCCGCAGGTCGCGGGTTCGACTCCCGGCTGCATTTCCTATGGAGGCGGAAATGTTGTAGGCCCTTGTGCTCAGATTTGGGTGCACGTTAAAGAACCCCAGGTGTTCGAAATTTCCGGAGCCCTCCACTACGGCGTCTCTCATAATCATATGGTGGTCTTGGGACGTTAAACCCCACATATCAATCAACGTTATACTTGAATTGGCAAGACATGCCGTACGTTTTCTTTTTTAGTGATAAACCAAGGTGGTAAACCAACTAGGACACGAGTTTCAACGAGCAGAGTTTTTTGACCATGTGTGACCGGCGTTTTGTGGTTGAGCCACGTCATCGACTAGCCCTGTAAAGGGCTTAATTTTGTTGCGATTTTTGACGCCATATAGCGTTAAATAGCTCGTTTCCCTGATATTTCGGCGTTGTTGGTTGCGAGCTAAAATCATCATTCTACACGTGACCAAAAAATCTAGAAAAATTAAAATATAAAAAAAAAAACAGTGAAAAATCCCGGGTCACAGAAGGGATCGAACACGGGTTGGCTATGTGGCAAGCGGATGTTCGACCACGAGGATACGAGTCTACTTGTGAATGCAATGAAATTAACTTCCTCTGCTTGGAAATGCAGTGAAAGTAACTTTCATGCTTCACCAATGCATGCGTCCTGTACGAATGCTTCACGATACAACAAGAAATATTGCAGCAATGTTGCGTGATAGAAAAGCCAATTGCTAGCGGGCGTCAAAGCATGTGACTATCATAATGACTTCATGTTGTGATGCAGGTCACCCACTACAAAAGGCACACACGCAACTGCGTCTATTTCCTGTAGGCCACGTAGTGGGTGCATGACAAGTTCGAAATGTTTTCAGCGCACTAAGCGTTTGAAATACGCACTAAAAACATATCATCACTATGACGTTCTACTTCTAAACACAAAGCTTTAGGTCCCCCAGTTTTTTTTTTTTCATTTTGCGCCGTGCTGCTGGCTTTATCCATTTGGCTCAACGTGCCCAAGCACGTTAAGCGAAGAAATAGAAGTACGACAACACGAGAACACCGCGGGAAAAAGGGCTTGCTGCGGTTAATTACGTTGCATTAATACAAAATCGTTCGTTGAACATAGTTATCCACTGGAACCAAGGCTGCGGCAATTGCTTGAGGTCTTGACGACGGGAACTGAGTGTTGCTCCTTTTGAGGGCACTTTGTCCTAAGGATCCAAGGCTCGTAGCGAGAATTTTCGGTGGTGGGCGGGGAGGCAGAGTGTTTGATTGCTCGTCATGTTGTTATATTAGTTCGTGGGTGTGTTGACACGTGTGCGTGTACATATACACATACATAATTTAAGCATTTCTGAGGAGCTATGGGGGAACCCCCCAACGCGTCCATCTACTGGTTACGGAATCTGGTACTAACGACGCCTCAGCGAAGCCACATTATTCTCCAAATATTTCTTTATATGTGAAGGAGCTTTTTGCCTCACGCTTGTAGCGTCATACGTACGTACGTGTGTCCGTACGAACGAACGCACCGCAACGCGTTCCCCTCACCACAGGTGTTAGAGCGGTGCCAAGTAGGTCACGCCACAGCTACGCGTTGCCGCGCTCCCCTCGCATCCTTTTCTTCGCAGGCGCGCGCTGGCGTCACTCCCTTTCTCTCCCGCTGCACACTCGCCCCAGTGCCCGCAGCTGCCAGATCCTGCAGCCACTTGCAGCACATTTCTGTCTCACTTCACCCTCTCCACCACCCGCAACGCTTGAGAGTGCGTCGAGTGCAAACACTCTTTCGGCTCGTGTATCTTCGATGAAACTTGCACGAAACCCAACTCACCTTCCGTATCTTTGCGTTTTAAACTTTTACTTTAGTAAATGCTACAACATGTTTCGCTTCAAACCTTTCTTCTAGCACCCGTGTCGACACCCGTTTCAACCGGGTCAATGCCGTGCTTGCCGCTGCTGCGTCGCACCCCATTGAGGTTCCCTTCGGGGACACGGTTCATAATTTTAATCGATTAACCATTAATTGTTATTGTAACATTCTCGCTTTCTGTCTAGATGGGTTTATTGAGCAACTTGCCCCTTTCCTCGCCTATATCTTCCACTGAAATGCCGTGTTCTTCAAATTGGGTTGCGCCGGGTAATTATTCGGGCTGTTACTGCAGGACTCCACATGAGCATCGTTCCAATAAACCAGCTCGTCACCGACGACGAGAGGAAGCAGCTGAGGGATGACGTCACGGCAATCGTCCGCAAACTTCACGGACCACAGACAGACCCATCACGATTTCGCATGTACATCATCAAGGCCTCAAAGTCGAAGAGCTAGAACGACAAGCACTTGGACCCAAACTGCAGGACGGGCATGTCGCATGGATTGGGTAGATATCAGTACAGATGACAAGCCTTTTTATAAATGCGCAGTTTAGTTGCCCAATCTTTAGTAAAATATTTTATTTGTCTTTTATCAAACTGGTTCAACCTTTATTGCGTTGTCAATTGTGTGGGCACTCACGTGTATCTTCACCGTCACCTGCATGTCCCATCTATTTAAAGTATGGACCGATGAAACCACCCCACGCATCGCACGTTGTACGTGCGATAGGAAATTCGCAAGCGCTGCTGACGAATGCTACTAAAGGTGAGATGAGACGAGCCGATCATCTCCGTCGCGCTAAAACTTCATCGTAATAGGAGCAGAAGGGGACCTTCGCGAGTAAAGCAGGACATGCGTTCTTTCATCATCCGGGCGGCAATGATCAAAGAACGCAGTTTGTGACCATTCGTCCAGACTCTTCTGCTGGGTGGAGCGGACTGACAGATACACTAATTCAAGAATTCAGTTTATTTGGATGCACGAGTGATACGAGGCCAAAAAATTTAAGCATTTGTTTCGAAACTTTTTCTTCTTGAGCCGATTGCGTGGTTAGTTGCCACGTATTACACACTATTTCTCCTGCCGATGTGCGAATATTTCAAGGCAGAAATATGAATGCGCGAGCCACATTCGGTGACATGAAATATTCGTGAATCTGGGTTGTCGCTGGGGCTGACGTCTCGGTAAGCGCACTTCATTTTTTAAGGCTACTATTTTTGCAGGAAATATGTTGGAAGTGTGCATTCTGCTATTTTGGGCATGCGCACCAGAACATAAATTCTGTGGTTTCGCAAGCCAAAATTAGGGTACCTTTGGACTTCGCCGTCACTGACACGTGGCCTCAATCGGCTTTCAATCGATCCCATGTTCTTGCACATGGGAGCGCAGCGACGTAATTACCAAGTCTCTTCGGAAGTTCAGGAGCTGTTTTACGCTGAAGTATGGACCACACTTAAATTTTACAGACCACTCGAGCACATGTGAAACTGCCTGTCCGTGCCACCTAGTGGTGCGCCATCTACCGTCGACCAGAGTTCTAGATCAAAAACGGGTTTTATTGTTATTCACTGGCCTTTTCGAATTTGCACTGCAGCGCAACGCAGTGTTAGTTCACAGCTTTACCGCGCAACGCTTGTCTACAATGTGACCATCACATTTCTATTTATTTTGACAGGAGGACCAAAGGTATCGGGGCCTTCCTCAAACAACATTTTGCTGGCAAGTTTCTGACAATAATTGTGACGAATAACAGTCATGCTCATAGACTGCTTTCGAGCTAGACGTACACACAGATGGCAGAGTTCGCGTCGTGTTGAAAAGTGTAAATTGACACTTGTTCGCACCCAGTCATAAAACAGGCTATAATGAAGGAAGGGATGCTTCTCTGGCGCTGCGGTGCTATCGACCGCAGCTGACGTAGCGGAAATTTCGCGATATGCCTTTTGGCCACGCTTTCGCATGGTCTGTAAACTTTTGTGGTTGGCTCTACAAAGAGTGCTACTTGGCACAGTGCATGTGTTTGTCTTATTTTTGTCCCCTAAAGTCAAGCCACACTTTGTTATGATGCACAATAGTCGATTCAAATATGCAGAACATTTACGTCAAAATGTGTCTTGATTCATCCACGTCTGTGGCTTGTGAAGCTGAAGTGTGAACGTTGTTTTTTTAACTACTCAACCTTCGTAACAAGCTTTAGCTCAGAGGTTATTTTTGTACGAGGTGCTTCGTGTCCTGATATTTACATAAAAAGTAAACCTTTTGTAGTTAAATTACCACGAAACGGATGTTTGCACCACCGTTGCTAAACATGACTTCTTCGACAGACGCAAAATGGCAGAGTATGGTGTAGTGTGCGATGTTTATGCATGTAAGGGAACCTGTGGTGATAAATATTTCCTGTGTCTTTCAGACTGGAGTGCCACTTTATCGAATCTCGATTTCGGCACGTGAAACCTCTCAAACCACAATTCTAAAATCATCAGAGCAGAGTAAAATATATGCAGTCATCAATATAAGGAATTATTTTAACAAGTGCTCTCAATCACGTATACAACGTCATTTTAGTGATAAGAAACAGCAGTGAATACAAGAAAACATTGACCCCGTAGCTGCATGTTTCACTGCAAATGTCGTCGAAAGACGATAGTCGTGCGTCTGAAGAAAGTGACAGAACGTTTATTTGATTTTCTGCGCGAGAAAATTGGTGAATTGTATTCCGGAGGTGCTAAGTTAAAGTACCTCGATCCGTGCTGTGAAGGTGAACGAGCGCATCGAGGCACGTCAGACACGAGCGCTATCTGGCATTTGTCTTCGAAAACGATCGATGGATGGCATGCGCGCCTTTCTCGGAGGCGATAAGGTGCAGAACGCAAAGCGACGGGTAGGTGCCACTGCCGTGTCGTCTTAGCAAAGCGTTGGAAGCGCTTGCCTTTTTGCGCATAGCGTGGCATTGTCAGCGCAGCGTGATAAACGCTACGGTCTTTAGAATCGCTTATGTATGCCTTTTCTTGTAAAGCCACACACACAGCATATTGACGTGTTATTATTGTTCCTTAGATATGTGCAAGAGTTGCTTTTTAATTGAGATTCCCACAAGTGTGGATGCTGAAACTTGAGCACTATTGGAGGGCACTGTGGATGGGGTTGGATTTTGGCCATTTAGGGTATCGTTTCAGCGGACAGACAAATGTACAAATAGACAGATAGACAGACAGATCCAAATGTTTGCGTCAAAGTACCTGAAGAAAGACTATCTTCTTTAAAAAAACCCGCGGATGCCACGCAAATGCGTGCATGTTCCGAGCTCAAGCATGAAAATATGGTCAGCAGCCATATTGTTCAGAGCAAACGGTGCCAGAAACTGCCTGAATACGACGTGCTACTCTGAGCTATTGTCTTGTTCATTACTTGGTGATACCTGAAGACGAATTAATATTTGGTATGCGCCAAAATCACCATAGCATAGCATCTGTGTATTGCGAACATAAATGAGACGTCATCACATGAACATCTGATGCATTACCCATGCGTTATTTGATGCATGACGCGATCTTGGTACTGGTCGTAGCGCCTTTATTAACGATAGTTATAGCGCGAGAACAGACGACGACACAGAGACAAGAGGACGCGTAGGACTCTGTATCGTCGTTCTGTTCTCGCGCTATAACTATCGTTATGCCATACCAACTAGCCCAAGCTGCCACACTTCTAAGCCTTTATTAACTTCATATTTCCTAAAATTTGCATTATATAAAATTTCTATATGACGAGTTTAAAATACTGGTGAAGACTTCAGTATCATTTTAACAGTAAACATATTTGACAGTCTGCTGGCTGTGTCCCAAAACACCGGACTACTTTCTAGTTTTTAATTTTAACATTAAAAATTCTGTACCAACCGTGGTTGGGCAGTTGTTTTATTCACATGAGTATCATGCGTGTATATCGTGTTCGTTAATGACACATTTGAGATTGTCGTGGTGCACTAGTGGCTGTTAAGTTAGCCTATAACTATTGCATTTTCATGCCTATCAATTGGCCTGAAAGGCCTGAATGTATGGCGAACATGAATGAGAAGTCTTCAGATGAGTATCATGTCTGTATGAATATATGACTCAATAATGATGCTCTTGTGGCTGTTCCACTAAACGTACAATTGTTGAGATTGACGTGGAGTGTCATGATGTATCCCGAAGATGGATGACACGTCGTAGTAAGATTATCATGTCATCTATGTCACGCACGTCGTGACACACATCACATGGTGTTGCTACTTTAATGTTCACACATATCTCTGGGGCACATTCATTATTGTGCACATTCATTATTGGGGCACATTCATTAAATGGCAATAGCATTGGACGACCATGAATGACGCGTGTAAACATGAAAATAATGTCATCCTTGTCACGGCATAGATGACGAGCCTACGGTACACTGGCAGCAGTTTTAGTTGGTGATTATTTGTGCTGAATCGAGATGAAATGACACGTGCACATGACCATCGTAAGTGACAGGCTACATCAAATATATGTCATGTGCGTCGTGACATGCATATTATAATATAGGCAATGTGTGTCATGACAGAGTAACATGCATTTGAACTAAATATCTGATTGGTTTGATATGTGGGGTTTAACGTCCCGAAACCACTATATGATTATGAGAGACGCCGTAGTGGAGGGCTCCGGAAATTTAGACCACCTGGGGTTCTTTAACGTGCACCCAAATCTGAGCACACGGGCCTCCAACATTTCCGCCTCCATCGGAAATGCAGCCGCCGCAGCCGGGATGCGAACCCGCGCCCTGCGGGTCAGCAGCCGAGTACCTTATCCACTAGACCACCGCGGCGGGGCTAGAACTGAATATCTGTCAGCTGAGTAGGAATCATAGCAATGCGCTCAGTAGCAATAAATGATTCACCCTAAAGCTCTGGAGTTTGAAAAAAAGTGACGACTTCAAGCTACTCACGTGCATATAACGCATATTTAAATACTAGATGCAGTATTGCAAGACTTCACAAATGAGAATGTACTGTTTCTATTTATCTATAGGTCAATCACACAAAAGATATTCGAGACTTTGTGGGCAAATGCAATGATGACATGTATGGAAATCGAATTTTGGTTACAGAGGGGCGTTAGAATTGTAACAACGCGCTTCAGCGTTGAAAAGAAAAGTTTTATGAATTAGGATCATAGGGCAGGCATTCGAAAGGACACCTCACCCGTTTCTTCTTGAATATCACTACGGTTTTTTTCTTGACGTGAATGAGCAGGAAATGGTCTGGGGGCGTCGATAACACTGTTCGTGGGCCCACTAGCTTAACGAAATAGAAAGGTGCTATGAGCTAGTGAAAGTGTTCATACATGTGATCTACCTTTTTCACGTTGAAAATGGGAACGTTCGCTGGGATCACGAGTTTTTCAGGATGTTTCCTTATAGTCATGAACATTGTTGCTTTTTCCTTCGTTTACGTCTTTAAGTTATTCTAATAGGCCAGAAAACGAATCACATTTCACGTATGTTTGATAAAGGCCAATAAGCCAAATGCAGTAAAGAGCACTTCTGGTTTACGAAACGTTCGCAGT